AAATCTCGCTTCCCGGCCCTGCGTCTCCCAGCCCAGGTTGCTCTGAATGGCGCACCAAATGAGCCAGCGTGCCTTATCTGATTCTCATTGCAAATTCCCTGCAAGAGAGGCAGCACAATGAGACTAAGAAAGAAGCCTATACAATGCTGTGCTCTGTATTCAGGAATACACTTCCCAGCCGCTTTCCCCTTTCGGGCTGGCTGACTGCCACTCAGCCGAAGTACGGTCTCATCAGAGCGACGTGGCCTGAGCATGAGTCCGGGAGCCAGGAACGCCTGAACTAGGAGCCTGCGTCTGACGCTGACTCCCTCCGCAAGTCAGTAAGGATGAGATGGTGAAATCTGCATAGGGGTGATGCACTCCAGGGACAGCTCCTCAGGGTACAGTCTCCCCAGGAGCTCCCAGGTGTGCATGAGGACTGCACCGAAAGTTACCTACTTTTGGACATGCTGCCCCATGTGTGCCACTGCCCTGATCCTAGGCGGCACTAGGAGGGAGCAGGGTCTGTGGCTGTTACTAGCCACCACACAGGGTGCAATGGGGTGTGACTCTCTATGTGCACTCACAGCAAATCCAAACGCAATATGGCTCTTAGCCACTTTGCCTCAGTTTCCCCCTCTGCACAGCGCGACTCGCTACCTTGCCTGGGAGGGTTCGCTGGTGAAGAGGGGGAGAAGCTGCTAGCGGCACAAGGACAATCTGAGGGCTGCACTATAATGGGCAGCGCAGGGCAGGGGGTTCATTGCGCAGGGCTCATGGAATCTGTTCTTTGGCAGGGTCACAACCCTGAACTTTGGGCGGCCGAATCCAGTGCCCTGGGAGCCTCGAAAGAGAAACGTGTAAAACTGCAGCATTTCATGTTTTCCACCCCAAACCCCAGAGTAGCCCTGGGCGCCTGGGAAATGTGTTCCCCGCCTCACGGGAGCTGGATGGGGTCTGCTGGGGGAGCCAGTCCCTCCCCTGCCAAGGCAGGGCTCTTCTCCCCCCATGCCTCGTTTTCAATGTCCCGAGTGATGGGGCTCGCTCAGGAAGCACCTCCCCAGCCTGAGCTCTCACGGTCACCAGGGCACAGCCCCTCTGGCCTGAGATCCGGGTTTGTCACGAAACTGGGAACCAGGTAGCACTTGCTTCCAGTGCTACACATGGGCCAGCCAAGCTCCTCTCTCAGCTCCAGGGTGGCTGCAGCCAACGAGGGTCTGACAGTGCCCCCATGCTCAGAGCTCCCATTGAACTCCCAAGGGAGCCCCTGCCCAGAGCAGCGTCAGAGCCGGGCCCTTAGCTTTGCAAGCCGAGCAGGGCTTGCCTGGGGGAAGGCGCCGTAGCTGCCCCAGTATTCACCCGCTGCTCCGCAGATGTCTGAGCCCCAGGCACAAAGCCCAGGGCTTGGTCTGGCCCTGTGGCTGCCTGGCTTTGCCAGCCTGAATGACAGGAGGGTTTTACCCTGTATGAAAACCAGCCAGGGCTGCTCCTATCCAGGGGCGCATCGGCCAGCGAGCCGAGCGCCTGCATCTTTGTGCTCATGCTTATTACCACGCACGGCAGGCGACCATCAGCAATAAGGGTGCTGCCTGTCATGGCTTCCATGGTGCATCACAGCCAGACTTCGCACAGCACCCAGTCAGGAAGAAATCCTAAGAGTAGCAGAGGACCCCCCTCCCCCATTCCCACCCCCAATCCCAGTCAACGAAGAACAGACTAGGCCAAGCACTGGAGAACGTACACAGCTGGTGTGAATTGGTGCAGGCTATTTACTTCAATGAAGCTATGTCAGCTGAAGGCCTGGTCCGGAGGGGCTTGTAATGTAAGTTAAAGTCTTCATCATTGTTTCACCCAGTTGAATTTTTGACTTAAAAAGCCCCAAATTCATTCATTCGACCCATGTCCCTAAGGATCTGGCCATCTGTTCTAAGTACCGTCACCGCAGAGTCTGAGCCCCTCAGTGCAGAGGGCTCTGTACTCTGTAAATACGGTAAACGTGATTAGTGCCAACTGGACAGCAAGAAACCCAGAGCGTTAAATCAGCCGCCCACATCAGAGCACTGCCCTGTGCAAACCACCCCTATTGATCTTCCTGGAGGAGTCATAGATTCTAAGACTGGAAGGGACCTCGAGAGGTCATCGAGTCCAGTCCCCTGCCCTCATGGCAGGACCAAATACTGTCTAGGATGTCCTCTAGGCCAGCGGTTCTCACCTTTTTAGGCTCAGGACCCATTGGTAAATGTTAATGACCCTGTTGCCACGCAGTAAATAGTCTGGGGGTGGAGGCCCTGGAGTGGTTTTGTTTGGATCCTGCCTCCTGGGAGGGGGTTGGGCCCTGCCCAGCACTCACCCCGCAGTAGCAGCTCTTGTAGCCCCTGTGCTGTGGGGCTGGCTGGGCTCGGCTCTCCGCTCTGGGCATCACAGCCTCCGGGGGTGCAGCGCCGCTCAGGTTTGGCCCTGCACCCCTGACTGTACCAAATGTGTGTGAGTGGAGTTGTGACCTGGCTCATGGGGTGACAGGGCCACTCACTCAGATCTGGCCTAGCCGGACTCCCGTTGTCATGACAGCTGGGCCAAACCTGAGTGGCGCTGGGGGCCAAACCTGAGTGGCGCTGGGACCCCACAGGCTGCAGTGCCTGGAGCAGGGAGCCAAGCCCAGCCGGCCTCATGGGGCAGGGGCCACAGGAGCTGTCACGTGACCCTTTGAAACATTCTGGTGACCCAATTTTGGGTCCGTGAAACCCTGCTCTAGGCAATAGCAGAGCATCAGCAACAGGCTGGCCGGTGCAATTAACTTACATCACTCGGGAAAGCGGTGTGACACCCGGTTAGCAGGGCTGGTGAACCTTGGTGCACATTGTGCTGAAGTCATTTGGGCCAGATCCTCAGCTGGTGTCAATCAACCTAGCTCCACTGCAGCGCTACACGGATTGACACCAGTGGAGTACCTGGCCCAATAGACGTTGTATTCGCTTATACCAGGATTGACCTTATGGCCCCTGGGCCGAACTCTGCCCAGCCAATGGGGTTGCTTGGATGCAAATATGAGCAGAATTGGACCCGGCAAAGCAATTACCTCTTCATAGGGGGGGTGTGAAGTTGCAGGGGTGTAAACCCAAAGTGATTTCAGTGGGGTTACTCCCAATTTACACAGGTGTAGCCTGGAACAGAGTTTGGCCCTTAGGCTGTATCTTGCAGCAGAACTCTCATTGCCAGTGTCAGGTTTCAGCATTGGCGGGGGGGGGGGGGCTGATGCCGTCCTTATGGAGCTCACATGTGAGAGGGGAGAGGGGGAGAGGGTGGGAGCAGGGATCGAGTCCTGGCCCTCAGCAGGGTTCTGTGGCAGATGATCTGGAGAGGCAGAGAATGGCCAGTTCCCGTTCACCCTCTTGCATTGGGTTCATCCTCCCTCAAGGTCTGGTGGAATCGGAGCCCTTCCTGGCTTGCCCCTCACAGAGCTGGGAAGAGATTGTTAAGTCAATGTGAGAGTTTTGTCAGAGATCTTGGGAGCTGGCCCTGTGGCTTCGAGCCTGCTGAACCTATCTGCTGATTATTAATATCTTCTCAAGAGCTAACTATGGGAGGAAAGCTGGTTTAATGGACAGGGCAGTAGCATGGGACACCCAAGACCTGCGTTCAGTTCCTGGCTCTGCTGCAAATGACCCTTGGGCACGTCCCCAAATGAAACACTCTGCCTCCATCCAATGGAGATGATGCGTCCGCACCTTGCAGGAGAAAGGCCATGAGGTGTCCAGTTACTCCGGTGATGAGGGGCTGTATATGTAGAATCAGAAAAGGGGGCGGGGTAGGAATCTTATGGGGTAGTTTCCATAGACAGTCTTTGGCACCAACTGGGGTGAAGATGTCTTTGTGTCCAACATCCAGTGGATAACGTTTTAAAAAGCGTTTAAGTGAGTTAGGTATCTAATCCCAGTTTCTAAAGTGACAGGCACTTCGGAGCCCACGTCTCACTGAAAGGCAATGGGTCTTACCGTCACCGAAGGTTACGTCTACATGGCAAGCAGAAACCAGTCTTGGAGCCCGAGCCTACAGGCTAGGACTTGTGCTATGGTGCTAATCACAGCTATGTAGATGTTTGGCTCAGGCTGGAGCCCTGGTTCTGAAGCCTACGAGGGGGTGAGGTTCAGCGCCCGAGCCTGAATATCTGCAGTGCAAGCCCCGTGAGCCCCAGCCTGTAGACCCGGGCTCCGAGACTCGCTGCCATGGGTTTCTGCTTGCCATGTAGACATACCCACAGGTGCTCAGAAACCTTGGGGGGGAGGGATAGCTCAGTGGTTTGAGCATTAGCCTTCCAAATCCACAATCATAAGCTCAATCCTTGAAGGGGTCACTTAAGGATCTATGGCAAAATCAGTACTTGGTCCTGCTAGTGAAGGCAGGGGGCTGGACTCAATGACCTTTCAGCATCCCTTCCAGCTCTATGAGATAGATATAGCTCCATATATTTTTATTTAACCTTTGAAAACTTTACCCACGCCACTCTCTGCAGCTAGCCTGCCTTGCGGGGGGTGCTTCCTTCAGACATCCCAAGCTGTGCAGGATTGTCCCCGGACAGAACTCCTCTGGGAGTCTTCTGGGAAACTCACGTGCTGCCAGGAGTGAACCTCTAAGTCAGTGCTCCAGGAGGGGGCTAGTGGGAGCTGTGCTGCTGAAGTTTTGTACCAGATGAGGTCTGGTTTCTGACTGCATTGTACATCTGAACTATCTGCTGCCTCTCTTAGCTGGGGGAACTTGGCAAAGACTTTTGGAAGATCTGAACAGTGATGGCACATGTGGTGCTCCTTCTCCCCTCCACTGAATGAGGAGGGGCTGCTGAACCATAAAGGGCCAGATTTCCAAGTGCTCGGCACCCCCCAGCTTCTTGAAAGAGCTCAGCTCTCACTGTGACATTGATGGGCAGATCTTCAAATGAGCTCTACACCCAAAGTCCTGAGCTCTTGCAAATCTAGCCCCTAGTGCCGAAGCCTTCAGTGCAAATGACACAGGACAAAGTTGAATAGCACAGTGCAATAAAAGACTTTATTGGCCACATATTTACAATGCTTTCAAAGGGCTGTTCCTTTACATCTTGTAATGATTTTCTGAGGTGCTGCAGCATGTAAGCAACATACTCGCTGTTAGACTCATCTGTGATCTTGCTTCTTTCCCTCAGTAGAACTGGTGCTTCCCCTGTTGCTGCCTGTTCGCCAAATGCATCAGCTTGAGCAGGAAGTCACTCGCTGAGCCATCCAGCACAGTCAGGTTCTTCTCTGAGAGCTCTCGACTTCTGTCACTATCGTCATCCAGGCAAATGGTATCCATGGTGCAGCTCTCTTCGAAACATGAAAAGAAAACCAAAGTGTTATCACTGATGTTACATGAAGCAGTGGGTTCCAGGGATTGGTGTCATAGACTGTGATCCCATGCACTTTCTTAAACAGAAGGGACTTATTAAACAGAAAAGCTACAACTACAGCCACAAAAAGACTTCCACAGAGCTTTAGTTCCAGCTTTGTCTCCCTTGTTTACCAGGGACCACAACCTGTCTGGAACTCACTATAGCAAACAGAGACATCTAGTGGATGAATAACATATTGCTGGCAAATACATTAGAAATGGAGGTTAGGAGTTGGGGGGACCGGGAATTCCTGAGTTGTAATCCTATCTCTTACATTGACATGCTATGTAGACTTGGGCAAATCAATTCACCTCTTTGTGCCTCGGTTTCCCCATTTGGAAGATTGGGATTATAGTAATACTTTTACAACCCTACCTTTGAGTCTGCTGGGCTCTTTAGTTAATGCGCGTAAAAAGCGTTGAAGATATAAAGTGTTATATCAGCCATCGGCTTTTGTGTTGAGTCAAATCCTGAAATCCTTACTCATGCAAAATGCCCATTGAGGTCAATTACTCAGTCCTTACTCATGCCAAACCCCCCCCCCCCGGGGGCGAAGTCAATAGCAGTTTGTCCTGAGCAAAAACGAAAGCTGTCAAGCAGGTTTGGTCCATTACTGTTCCTTATATTTCCAGAAATGGTCCAATCCAAGAGTCAAGCAGTTGACATTCTGGATCATACCATCTCATTCATTATCCGGCTTCTGACGGTGGCCAATATCTGCCCATTCCCCATCTCTATAGTGGGGCTAAAAGCACTTCCCTACATCACAGAGGTGTTATGAGGATAAGTCCATTAAAGATTGTGAGGGGCTCAGCTACTACAGAGATGGGGGCCAGTGAAGTACCCAGGAGAGGAGATGATCCCCTAGGCAAAGGCTGTTACTATTTGAGGTGCCTCCCCATTCCATTGTATTTGTTCTGGGTATGGGGGTGCTCCTCTATTACCATCATTGCAGCAAATGCCGGGAGCGGCGCATTTCCCTCCTGAGCTGCAGGCTTTCCCGCCGGCCTCACAAGGGGAAGGCAGGTAGTTTTCTTCCACGCAGCGCAGGGTTTCGGAAGTGCCCACGTAGCAGCCGAGCTCCTCTCCACAGCAGATGTTGGGGCCAAAGCAGTGCCCTCTGTTCCCAGGGCCACAGGGTATGCACTGGGGAGACAGGAGACAGATCAGCATGCCAGGTGCAGCACGGGGAGGGAAGATTCATTCTTAGAGAACAGCTAAACCCCTCATGCATGCTATGAGCACAGGGCCTGATCTCACCGGTGGGAATCAGAGGTGAGTCCATGGACTAACCAGCCAGGAGAATCGGGTGCATGAATGGGAAGCTGTTATAACCAGTGAGCCAGGTCTGAAGGTTGTGGGCCAGGTCCTGCTCCCCATTGAAATAAATGGCAAAATTCCCATTGTGTTGAATGGCGGTTAATTCTTAGCTGATTTTTATGGTCCAAATCCTTCAGCAGGCGTTTAACCTGAACTAGGAGGTAGGATTGGGTCTCTGAGATCAACCCTAAAACCAGCTTCATGGTCACACATTTTCCCTATCGCTCTCCACCTGCTGCAGACAAGGCCTCCATGTCATGAAAGAGCCCATAAGAGTGGGTGTGTCCCGGATGAACCGCACCCAGGTAATTACATCCTGCCTCCCGCAGCGCCCCCTGCAGCTTCAATTGGAGCGATATTCTGCTTCAGGTGCTGTGCTCCACCCCTTCATGTTTGTATCCCAGGCCCATCATCTGGGCACCTACTCCGTTTACTAGATGGCTGCATTTCAGTGGTGGGTAAACTGAGTCATATATATACCTACCTCATCGGGCATTTATAAGACTGACAAATACTTTAAGTATCATATTCGTCCTCCCCTGAAGCAATATGCAGCTTTCTCAATGGAGGACGCATCCCTGCCAAGTTACCAATGTAGGGGACAATCATTTTCAGTTGCTAGAATAGCAGCTGGGATCAGATCTTTCCATGGACAGTAGATGGAAGATGCTGCTATAAGTTACCTTAGGGTTTTTTTGAGCAAAAGGATGAGCCCGTTCAGTCTCTGAAACCCTGGAAGTAAGTGCAGGGGTTTAAATGTTCTGTGGCTCCCAGTTCTTTAGCTAAGCGCTTGGCATTAGCAGTCAGAGTTTTTGTCCAAAAACCAAGAGACAGACACGGCCTATTGCATTGTCTGCTCTTTCCCTTGTTGGCAATGCAAGATTGTGCCCCCTTTTTGTTCAGTCTTGTTTTAAATGGCTCATACAATTTGGCTCCCACCATAGTATGTGGAAGCCAACGTCATTCATAGATGGTGGTGGCTCGTTTGCAAAGATGCCTTCAAGCCTTAAAGGAATTAGAGCCAAGCTGTAGAATGAGGTTGCTTTCAGGGCTATATCAATTCTTCTCCCATATTTAGAACTTCCTAGTCAATGGAATTTCCTCTCCACTAAAATTTTCAATATGTTGGTTTATTGCATTACGGGGTAAAGAGGTACAAGTGCTCTTCTCAGTACAGCTCTGCTGAGACCACCAATGGAACAGAGCATTCAGTTCCAGGCACCTCATTAACAGAATGATATTAATTAATTAGAAGCAGGTCAAAGAAGAGCAGCAAAAAGTGATCGGGGGCTGGAGGGACAGTCTTGCTAAGAAAGAGGGAAACGGTTAAATATGGGCAGCTGGCTAAGCCGTGACTAAGGGTGGGAGGGTAGGCATGATTCTACAAACATTGAAAGTGGAACCAATCCTAGCACGGTGCGTTTTGTGTGTGTGTCCAGTCACTGGAGGATAACAACCTACTGCTATTAACAGTAACAGAGTTATCCCTTTAGCTCAAGTGCTAGAGATCAGTGTTGTAGTGCTGAAGGTCTGGGGGTCAACCTGGCTGATGACCTCTTGGGAGGGATGGGGATCATTCCATTCAAGCGGGTGGGAGGAATTACTTAGGATAGTACAAAGGGGGAAGAGCTAGAAGTGATGGGGGTCACGTTAAGAAAGAACATAGGAATTGCCAGATTGGCTCAGACCCATGGTCCATCCAGCCCAGTGTCTGGTCTCTGACTATGGCCAGTACCAGATGCTTCAGAGGAAGGTGCAAGAGCCCCACAGTAGGCAGATGTGGGATAATCTTCCCCCTGCATTAGGGCTCCTTCTAGTCTCTACTAGAGATTGGCTTAACCCCTGCAGTATGGGGGTTAGTATCCCTTCCACACTGTACGTCATTAACTTTTTAAATACTGGATGTTCTTATTAGCCATATGAGAGAAGAGAGGACTTAAGATGAATAGCAAATAAAACCGCCTAACAGAAAGCTCACTTTGGCTCTGCAATGGCCTCCTAAGGGAAGGGGTAGCCTCTCCATCACTCAGGCGGATTTAGCCAGGAGAGAACGGCAGGCTGTGTTTAGTAGCGAACAAGCCTGTCTGGGCTGGGAGAGTCACTAGTTGACCAGAGCACAGGACTGGGCCTCAGGAGTCCTGGATTCAGTTCCTGGCTCTGCTACTGGCCTGGTAGATAACTTTGAGTGGGTCACGTCACCTTTCTGTGCCTCAGTTTCCCCATCTGTAAAATGGGGATAATGACACTGACCCCCTTTGTAAAGCACTTTGAGATCTGCTGATGATGAGTGATACATAAGAGACAGACCTTAGTATTAACTCCTGTGCTCTATAATCCATATAGCTCCAGCTCACAGCTAGTGTAGGAAGCTTACTGCAGACCGTTACGTGAAGGGGCTATATTTTGCACCCTTTCTTCAGAATAAAAGGGAACGGCTACTCAGTGACGGGGGCAATACAGGCACATGCTGTGTATCTCTGTGTCAAAGGTCCCCTCATTTAATAACTGCCCACCAGCAGTGGGATCATGGCTACACACAAACTACAGGGGAAAGTAATTACTAAGGATAAGATTTTGTCACGGAGGTCACAGATTTCATGACTTTCAGTGATCTCCAGAACATTTTCTGCTTCAGCCCCGTACCTTGGGGTGGCGAGGGGCCCTGCGGCTGTCAGCCACTGCTGTAGGCAGTGGGGGCTGGCGCTCGTAGTCTCTTCCACCCCCTTTTATTTTTAGTAAAAGTCACAGCTAGGTCGCGGGCTTCCGTGAATGTTTGTTTAGTGCCCACGTCCTGTCTGGGAGTTTTATTAAAAATAACTGTGACAAAATCTTAACTTTAGTAATTACACTTAGAAGCCACATCAGTCTAAAGCCAGCCACAGTGAATCCTATTGAAATGGAAAATTAAATTGTGGTCTAGAGATGTTTGCATTCAAACATGACCTTGTCTTCTATTTGGTAACTGGGGACACTTCGAAATTTTGATCAGAAGGAACTGGTTTAAAAAGGCTGTGAATGGTCAGCACAGTGGCTCTGTCCATGGTGCTTAATTTGTTAGGTTCTTTAATGGCCCGAAAACTTTTGGGACCAAATTTTCATAGGTGAACAAGCTACCATACATCAGAGACGTTGTCTAAAAATCAAGTCAGCCACAACAGGAAGAGACAATCACATTAACTTTGGTTATTTTAAATCCTCTTGATATAACCTGCATGTCTATACATTGAGATATCATTTCTCAGGTAACCAACTGCTGTGTTCAGATCTGCTCAAAATGTGATAGAATCAAAATGAAATGGTGTAAAACACTTTGCTATGACTGAAATGGTTTAAGTAAGTAATACAGTAGCGCCTCATGTAAATCAATATGTGTTTAAAAGGCACCGGTGCTATTCCTTTTATGATATAGCTTTTCTTTCTGAAATTACTCTAAATATATTATTGCTACTTCACATTTGCATTGAGCATGACATCCAGACTGCATTCAAGTCCATGGCAAAACTCCTGTTGAACAGTGTGGGGCCAGGATTTCACCCTAAGTACATCTGAAGGTCTGTAACTTAATTTTTTTTTTCATCTGTTCTCTTTGCACAAGAAATACAAGTACTGGGTTCTTGGGGACCAGATCCTTAGCTGGTGTTCTCATTGCTCTATTGAAGATGATTTCTACCAGCTGAGGAGTTGGCTCTTCAAATGGGCTTCAGATGTCCTCTCTCTGCTAGTGCATGAGTGAGGCTGTTACAACTAGCCACAGAGCAAACATTCTGTTCTTTAATCACAAGCCAAAAGAACTATTAAAGTTTGTGGCGCAAGACTGCATTAAAAGGGCATTAGGTGGCAGAAGGAAATCACGAATGTCAGCTATTCCTCTTTAGGGGGTGCAGCCCCTGTTTTAGTGGGGTGCCAATCATTTTACCACTTCCCTCCCATCCCCCACAGTTTCCCAGTCCAAAGAATTTCAGTCGATTTAAGGACTGGCTCCCTATTTTTCTCCCTCGCTTTTCTCTCTGCTGCTTCCAATTAGGGGCCAAGGGGTGGGGCGGGGGACTTAAAGACACCTTTCCTAAATCGAAATAAAGATTTCCCCCACCCCCTTTGTCTCCTAAGAAGCATCAATGCAAAGCTCCTTCGCTCAAAGCAATGTAACTTCATTTCTGTAAAGAAAGCAAGCTGGAGCAAGACCTAGAAGCTTTAAAAAATGCCTATCTGAGCTTCAGGCCAATGTGCGGAATCTAGCTGCCAGCCAGTGAGGAGTTTGCCCCTGTCTCTCTCACCCCGAGAACTCAAATAGAGTTTGCCTAACACACCCAGGACTGGAAGACAGACAGTCCCTCGTGCCCAGAGAACTGAAGTACAATGTCACACACCCAGGACTGGAAGACAGACAGTCCCTCGTGCCCAGAGAATTGAAGTACAATGTCACACACCCAGGACTGGAAGACAGTCCCTCGTGCCCAGAGAATTGAAGTACATTCTTGCTCTCTCTCTCGCACTCACACGCACACGCACACACTTTGTATGGGAACACAGTTCACCACACCATAAGGAATTAGCTCCCCCCCACCCACATTGCAAGCAGCCCCTCTCGTACCTGTCTGATCTCTGTGTCGGGCAAGGCTCTCTTTCCTCCTCGAGGGCAGTTCTGGATGTAGCAGGCTGAAGACATGGCGAGAAGACAGAGGAAGTGGACTGGAAGAGAGGTTTTGGGCATCTTGAAGGGGGCTGCCAGGCTCTCACACACACAGAGAGAAGCTTTGTTTGCTTTCCAGCCTCCTGTTTGCAGCTGGCTCCTTTCTGGACCAGCTGCCTACTTATATCCCTCCCCGTGCCGACGTAATGCCTTTCTTGGCCTTTGTCACCACGGCCAGGGGGAGGGGGCTTTTTTTTTTTAAAACCTCTTTCCCAAACTAGACTCAAAGCAAATACTGTAATTGAGGTGATTCAGTGCAGAGGCACAAACAGCCAGTCCGGGCTCAACAGCTCCTCTGAGCCTTCGCTGGGTGCTGATGAATAATTCTTCCTTCCAGCCCAATGCGAAATCCCAGCAGGAAAACTGTGGACACGTTGGGGGGGGAAAGGATAGCTCGGGGGAGGAGAGGGGGTTGGGGGCCTGGGTCTGATTCTGATCTCACTCAGCCCTGTGCCAGTCCAGAGTGACTTCACTGAGGTCAACGGAGCCTCCCGTGAACACAAGGAGAACCAGACCCAGCCATTTCCTCCGGTTTGGCACGTGGGGCCAAATCTACAACCGGTGTAACTGAAATCGTCGGCCCTGTGTCGATTTACACCAGCTGAGCATCCACCTCACACAGCTTATTGACTCCTAAGGGGAAAAGGCCTTTTCCTCCTTGGGTTGCACCACGTGGGGCAATCCTGTGCTGACCCCGTCTAGAAACCTGGGGGCAGACAGCAGAAGCAGAGGGCAGTTGAGGCGCCAGATATAAAAAGTGTTTTGGGATGTGCTTGCTGGAGTCGTTTATGGGGTCTGCTTATTGAGGGCTTAGTCCTGCTGCCCCTTACTCAGGTGAGTAAACCTCGCCCACGTAACCCGGATTGGGTCTTCACTTTGTGAGTGCTTCCAGGCTGGTTCGCCAATGTGGGGCTGCTTCTGAGTGCCACTCATGCAAGCTCAGAATCAGGCTCTCTGGGTTTTATTCACCAGCTTCACCGTGCACAGCCGTTCACCCCTGTGCCCAGCGAGGGCTCAACGCCAACACTTTGCCCTCCCATTGCACAGGTGTAAAGGCTGGAGCAAGGGGCAAGGCACTGGAGAATCAGGCCCATTGCTGTCACACCTGCCTCCAAAGCCCCTGCCACACCACTGGTGCTGTATAAATAGTTAGGTGACTATCAAAGGCATCCACAATTGAGGTTAAACTTGAGCCACATGACGTTAACCCTGGCATGAAGCTGTCCCTTTTATCTAACAATGCTAGCTCGCGCGAGCTTATAGTCATGATTGCTAGACTGGGGCTCCATTGTGCTAGGTGCAGTACAAACAGAGTGAGAGACAGGCCCTGCATCCAAGAGTTTACAAGCCAAATAAACAAGACAGAAAGAAACAGACACACAACAGAGTCAGGACTAGGACCCAGCTTGCCTGAGTCCCATTCCAGTGCGCTTAACTACCAGACCGGACTGTTCTCCTGCAGCTTTTCCGCTGTGCAGGGAACATTTACCACGCTGCACCAAGACGTGTGCCTTTTGTTTCTGCCTGCCGGTTTAGTTGTAGCAAGGCGAGGAGGGGAGAAGCCACAGCAATTATCTCTCTGGGGTAAATCCCCAAATCATTAGTCAGGAAAAAGTCCCATTGACTTATATGAATAAGGCACTTAATAGTTTGTGTTCTGGCCACTATCGCTAAAGGCTGAGTAACTTCCCAGCCCCAAATAATGCATTGTTCTGCTACCGGCCACTGTGGGAAAGAGGATACTGAATTAGAGAGACCTCAGCTCCATAGTGCAATTCCATGTCTAGTCGGCCCTCTCCTCATGTGTACATTTTGCTATGGTTTGCATTATTGCCTGCTTGCTCTTTGTGTCTATAGCTATATAATTACACACAATGGTGAGGACATTAATGTTGCAAAGTCAAGCACTCCAAAGTTAGGAAATGCCAAAATTAAGGTTCCCATCCCCTCCAACTTGTCTCTGCCCCAGTCATGTCTCTTCCCTACCACTGGCTTCCTGTCCCGCTCCCAGTCTCCTTTCCCAGCCATCAGTCCTAGTTTCCCTCCCCTCCTCAGCTCCCAGGTTCCCCGTGTCCTCCTCCCTGTCAACCGCCAATCCCGTTCTCCCGCTATGGTTCTCATGAGGCTGTTCTCTCCCCATGCAGGTTTGGCTCCTGCTCCCTCTGCATTGGCATCAGACAGCTTCCTCCTCCACAGTGCCTGGGCCCAGCAGAGAGAGCATCGTGGGCACCGGCCAGACAGTCCCCTTGCTTTCAGTTCAGATGCCTGAAGTGGGAAGCCTGGCAGACATGGAGCATGGAAAGTTTCAGCCCAAACAGTAAAAGTTTGGCAAAGTTCTAAGCAACTGAAAACAGGGTCTTACCACGGGAAGTGTTGGGCAATCTTAATAATAGGGGATGCTCATAATAAATATATTCTGATCCTCCAGCTTCAAACCGTAGGAGATTCATAAATAAATCACTAGCCACCCAGGGACAGACGCACAAAAACTTGGTTAACTACTACAGCAGACAAGCCTGACTTTCACCGGGCGTGTGGAATTTTAGCCAACGCTCCCAACAATACGCTACCGTCATATGGCGTGTGGCGAGACTGGGGACCGGTCCAGCCCATCCAAGCACATTGCAGAGAAGACAAGCATGGAGCAGGTTGAATGGTGTCGTTACATTCCTCGCTCTCCTGTGTGTGAGGATGCAGCTACCATGGTGATAGCTGCAATGTTGAGACCTAGCTACCTCAGTGCTCTGGGTTGAGGTCAGAAGCGGGCCTGGCCGCTGAGGGAGGGGAACTCCTGGCCTGCACCTTGGTCCGACCCAGGCTCTGACCAGTAGAGACAATGACAGAAGCCCTTTCTCCGCATGTCAGCTGTGGGCTGCTCCGGGCTACGTATATGTGTGTAAAATAGATTCCTGCTCTTTTTACAGAGCAGCCCATGAGCAGCCAATGCACTGGCTCCTTCCTGGGGGACTGGCTTGGCGAGTGCAGCAGGGCCAATCCTGGGTCCCGCTTGGTTATAGCTGGAGCCGGTTGTGTGGACTTTGCATGGTGAAGGAACCCTCTAGCCCTGGCGGCATGACTAGTACAGTTGCAAGCTGAGTAAGGCCAGTCTGGGGGATCTTATGAAGGGATTGTGAGGCTTTTGAAGGCAGATTTGATAAAGAGGCCAGTTCAAGACGGGGAACAATGTGACTATAGTGGTTTGGAACGGGTCCCATATGAGGAGAGATTAAAGAGGCTAGGACTTTTCAGCTTGGAAAAGAGGAGACTGAGGGGGGACATGATAGAGGTATATAGAGAAAGTAAATAAGGAAAAGTTATTTACTTGTTCCCATAATACAAGAAATAGGGGGCCACCAAATGAAATTAAGGTTTAAAACAAATAAAAGGAAGTTCTTCTTCACACAGTGCACAGTCAACTGGTGGAACTCCTTACCTGAGGAGGTTGTGAAGGCTAGGACTATAACAGGGTTTAAAAGAGAACTAGATAAATTCATGGAGGTTAAGTCCATTAATGGTTATTAGCCAGGATGGGTAAGGAATGGTGGCCCTAGCCTCTGTTTGTCAGAGGGTGGAGATGGATGGCAGGAGAGAGATCACTTGATCATTGCCTGTTGGGTTCACTCCCTCTGGGACACCTGGCATTGGCCACTGTCGGCAGACAGGATACTGGGCTGGATGGACCTTTGGTCTGACCCAGTACGGCCGTTCTTCTGACTCTTCCAGAGAAGAGGGTGGGTGGGTGGTTAAAGTGCTGGCTTGGTTCATTTTGCAGCTCTACGCCTCCGTTCCCAGCTGTCCAATGAGAGCAACCCATGCATAGGCTGGAAGGTCAAGCTGGCTTTCACGGAGCTCTACATTACCCACTGCAATGGGGCCCTGAGCGAGGCCTTGCCCTCTGGGTCCTACTGTAATAGAGGGGCCCTAGCCACAGTGCTGAGGTTCAGCTCTGCCTAGGAAAGAAGTACGTCTGTTGATTTACGTTGGTTCTCGCTCCCCCTCCCATTCGCCTCCACATTGCAGCCTCTCGCCAAGCCCTGTTCAGCCCCTCCCCTCTTTCTGCTTGCAAGGGGTGAGCCAGCCACTGATGGCGTGGCTCCTCTGAAGTCAGTCGCCGTCACTCAACACCAAAGCCAGCAGCCACCCACGCTTGGCTGGCTTAGCTGGTAGCTCATACTATTCTCACACATTCATCCCCTGCTTTATCCATGATCAAGGGGGCTGGGGGGGGAGGGGGGAGCTAGATACCTTGTTGGGTGATGAAGGACATCTGGGCACCGTCGGAGACGCATCGTCTCCTGGCCCCACCCACGCCACCGTCCCAATAACCCCTGGCATGGTTTGACTCAGCAACACCCCAGAGATGGGACCACACAGTATTCCCTCCCCCCCTTCCTCACACACTGGCACTCATCCGTCCACCCAGCCAGGGCATTCTGCCCACCCCATGGGCAGCCATCTGCAAGCACTGCACTAGCGCTGAGCTTTCCCTTGCCCCCCGCCCCCCCGCGCCATCGCACTGCAGCACCCCGGGCCCTTGGACAGTGCCAGCCTTAGCCCAAAGATGGCGGCTGTGGCCAGGTGAAAAGGCTCACTGGAGAAGTGGGGCTTGGACTTGCATATGGAAGCCATCCCCCTGCCCTCTGGGCCCCTGTCTGACATCGGCGAAACGCCGCCCAGCCCCCTCTGGTGAGACTGTATGAGCAGGGCAAGGTGAGCCAAAGCATGACAGACCACCCCCCTCCCCCCCTCAGGCCCATTACGCTGAGAATGGAGGGGCCGGTGGTTAGGGGCCCTCCCCCACATTGCATGGAGTGGATCCAACATCTGATTCTGTGCACCAAAGCCTCCACTGGCCAGTTCACGCCAGCTGAGGCTCTCTCACACACACATACACCACACACACCAGTAGCATTCGCCAAGGCAGTGGTTCTCAACCAGGGGTACACGTACCCCTGGGGATACACAAAGATCTTCCAGGAGGTACTCAACTCATGTAGATCTGGGTTGCTCAACCTGGGGGTTGCCGCCCCAAGAGGGAGGTCATGTGACAGGTTTAAGGGGCTTGCAGGCTGGCATCGGGACTGGCAAGCAGGGCAATTTCCCCAGGGCTCCATGCCCGCAAAACTATGCTACATGCATCGTCCCTGGTGCTCGGGCTTCAGTCCT